TCTCTCTGTTCTCTTTCTCTGGTCTCTCTCTGGTCTCTCTGGTCTCTCTGTTCTCTCTCTGGTCTCTCTCTGTTCTCTCTCTCTGGTCTCTGTGGTCTCTCCCTGGTCTCTCTCTGGTCTCTCTCTGGTCTCTCTCTGGTCTCTGTGGTCTCTCTCTGGTCTCTCTCTGTTCTCTCTCTGTTCTCTCTCTCTGGTCTCTCTCTGGTCTCTCTCTGGTCTCTCTCTCTGGTCTCTCTCTCTGGTCTCTGTGGTCTCTCTCTGGTCTCTCTCTGGTCTCTCTCTGGTCTCTCTCTGGTCTCTCTCTGATCTCTCTCTGGTCTCTCTCTGGTCTCTCTCCGGTTTCTCTCTGGTCTCTCTCTGGTCTCTCAACATATATTTTTGGTTGTATTTGTGAATCAAAAAGGTTGCAGTGGTTCGGGACAGAGGCTTTACCTTCGCTTTTGCCGTGGGTCAGTCCTGGTCTTGACAGGAAGTGGATTAACACACACACACACACACACACACACACAAAGTAAGTTAGCCTCCCATTTAGCAGTAACAGGCTTAAGGATTCAGCCACGACATCACACCGGACCATTAGTGACTGTCTGCTCGACCTTGAGGCCCCTGGAACTATCTCTCAAACGCCACAAAGACACTTTTTTTGTCGCCACATCAGCAAAAAAGCCAAAGTTGGGCCCCGCGGGACTCGCCATAAAAGTGACAGGGACGAGGTTCAGTGTCGCGACGGTAAACAATGACTTTACTGCGGCGGCGGCGGCGGCGATGAGTTACGAGCCGAGAACACGGAGAAATACCGGCTTCGTGTTTGGTGAGAATCCGATTTATGGCGTTGTTTGGAGCCGGTGACGCTGTGGGTGTAAGGCACGGAATAGTTGGTGATATTTACTGCTGCCAGAGATAATGAAGAGGTTTTAATGAACTGTTTGTGTTGCTGCGTTCGTCAAAACAATAATTAATTTGCGTCGTTTTAAAAAGACATTGTTGTTTTGTTTTTGTTCATGTCCAAATCTCAATAATGAAATCATAAAAACGACTGGAGGTGTTTTTCTCCGGCCCCTAGTCATTTTATAAAGGGTTCCATAGGCTGCATATTAGGACAGGACCATAGACTCTATGGAGATGGACAATGCTAACCAGCTAGGGAAGTGCTCATGGACGAAGTTTTGCTTGTCTGCACAGTGAAGGTGCTCAGGAAGCTCAATTCTATTATTGGATCTTTGGGTTGTACCCTCAGGACGACGGTATAGGGCTCTTGGGGGTTGAGGACAAAAAGGTTGGGAACTGCTTTTATTCCAAAAGCTGTGAAGCACCTTAACAGCACATAGCACTTTGTACAAACTGTTGCACTTTACAGCACATTTTTCTTGTTCTTATCTTCTTCAATGTTGAGATTTTCCTGTATCTGCCTGTTTTTAGATGATTGTTTGCTGCAAAAAACAATTTCTTCCGAGTGGGACAAAAAAGATAACTTGAACTTGAAACAGAGCTGTTTTTAACCTGGATTCGAACATTGTCAGAGAAGAAGCCTGTCTCACATTCTCAGGAAGACTGTTGCAGATTTTAGTTGTATACATCTGAAACGCTGCCTCCCTATTTATAGTCCTGACTTAGAGTCCCAGCAGGAGGCCAGTCCCTGTGCTCCTCAGAGTCCCAGCAGGAGACCAGTCCCTGTGCTCCTCAGAGTCCCAGCAGGAGGCCAGTCCCTGTCCTCCTCAGAGTCCCAGCAGGAGGCCAGTCCCTGTGCTCCTCAGAGTCCCAGCAGGAGGCCAGTCCCTGTGTTCCTCAGAGTCCCAGCAGGAGGCCAGTCCCTGTGCTCCTCAGAGTCCCAGCAGGAGGCCAGTCCCTGTGCTCCTCAGAGTCCCAGCAGGAGGCCAGTCCCTGTGCTCCTCAGAGTCCCAGTAGGAGGCCAGTCCATGTCCTCCTCAGAGTCCCAGCAGGAGGCCAGTCCCTGTGCTCCTCAGAGTCCCAGCAGGAGGCCAGTCCCTGTGCTCCTCAGAGTCCCAGCAGGAGGCCAGTCCCTGTGCTCCTCAGAGTCCCAGCAGGAGGCCAGTCCCTGTGCTCCTCAGAGTCCCAGCAGGAGGCCAGTCCCTGTGCTCCTCAGAGTCCCAGCAGGAGACCAGTCCCTGTGCACCTCAGAGTCCCAGTAGGAGGCCAGTCCATGTCCTCCTCAGAGTCCCAGCAGGAGGCCAGTCCCTGTGCTCCTCAGAGTCCCAGTAGGAGGCCAGTCCATGTCCTCCTCAGAGTCCCAGCAGGAGGCCAGTCCCTGTGCTCCTCAGAGTCCCAGCAGGAGGCCAGTCCCTGTGCTCCTCAGAGTCCCAGCAGGAGGCCAGTCCCTGTGCTCCTCAGAGTCCCAGCAGGAGGCCAGTCACTGTGCACCTCAGAGTCCCAGAAGGAGGCCAGTCCCTGTGCTCCTCAGAGTCCCAGCAGGAGGCCAGTCCCTGTGCTCCTCAGAGTCCCAGCAGGAGGCCAGTCCCTGTGCTCCACAGAGTCCCAGCAGGAGGCCAGTCCCTGTGCTCCTCAGAGTCCCAGCAGGAGGCCAGTCCCTGTGCTCCTCAGAGTCCCAGCAGGAGGCCAGTCCCTGTGCTCCTCAGAGTCCCAGCAGGAGGCCAGTCCCTGTGCTCCTCAGAGTCCCAGCAGGAGGCCAGTCCCTGTGCTCCTCAGAGTCCCAGCAGGAGGCCAGTCCCTGTGCTCCTCAGAGTCCCAGCAGGAGGCCAGTCCCTGTGCTCCACAGAGTCCCAGCAGGAGGCCAGTCCCGGTGCTCCTCAGAGTCCCAGCAGGAGGCCAGTCCCTGTGCTCCTCAGAGTCCCAGCAGGAGGCCAGTCCCTGTGCTCCTCAGAGTCCCAGCAGGAGGCCAGTCCCTGTGCTCCTCAGAGTCCCAGCAGGAGGCCAGTCCCTGTGCTCCTCAGAGTCCCAGCAGGAGGCCAGTCCCTGTGCTCCTCAGAGTCCCAGCAGGAGGCTAGTCCCTGTGCTCCTCAGAGTCCCAGCAGGAGGCCAGTCCCTGTGCTGCTCAGAGTCCCAGCAGGAGGCCAGTCCCTGTGCTGCTCAGAGTTGGCTCATATGGCTCTATCATGTCACAGATGTCACTTTGGTGCGAGGTCATGGAGAGACTTGAACGAGTAAATAGCAGTGAGTAAATGTCAGTACATCTACACCTGCATGTATTTGATATTTGATTTGATAATTAACCTTGATTAATGAACCGCCCGCCCCCTCGTCACCTTCTCTGCACCTGTGCTCTGAAGCTAACCGAGGCTAACGACGCTCATACTTCACCAATTCCGCCGGAGCCCATTCCTCTCCGTCTCCGCACTGACATTCTGGCAGCTGTCGACGCGCCTCCATTCCCGTTCCCCAGGGGGCGCCATGTTGGGTCCCGCCGGTGCATTAGGGGCCGTCACACACACACAGGGGAGACCGGAGGGAGCTGTCCTGCCTTCGACCCCCTCCACCCCCCCCCCCCCCCTATGACAAAGTGTTACACGGAAAAGCCTCCTTGTCCTTGTCTCTGGAGTTGTGCTTGAGTAAATAATGTTTTTGCGGCGCGGCGGTGGTGAGTTGTCGCCTCGGATGGATTGATGTGGGTCCAAAAGCCGCTGGTTTTTGCGTAGACAGAACGTCACAATTGACTCCATTTGACTTGTCAGACGATCTGTCCTCATCCGAGAAGGAGAAGCACCCAGAATAACCTCCGCAGACGTCTCCACAACACGGAGACTAAACACAGAGAGAGAGAGAGAATAAGTACAAGATACTTTTTACTGACATCAGGATCAATTCTATGGGATTGTTTTGAGTTTACCGTCGGGATTTAAACTGCAAGAGATGGAAACAAGAATCTGTCAAACAACATTACGATCTTAATGTTGTCCATTCTTGCGTTGTTTTTCCTTTCCTGTTTGAATAAATTTGATCGAAAGAATTGACAGAGGCCCAACTGATAAACTAGGGATAGAAGCAGCTGTTTTAAATGTGACTTTGTAGTATCATAAGTTATTTTCTTAAATGATAAACTAACAGCAGGTCTTTCTCTTGACGCCGCAAAGATTATTTTCTGTCGGAAAATAGTTTGACCAATGAGGAGCTGCCTCGGCCGTCTATCAAGAGTTTGAATTAATATTGTCCAATCAGGAACACTGACAGAAGCGAGGCAACCAGTCTGTGCCGTCGGCCCCTCCCACCACCACCAACCATTCACACACACACCAGACTCATTCTAATGTGGGGGAAGTGTCTTGCCTAAGGACACAACCGCAGTTTGGCACTTTACAGCCGCAGCCGCTGCACTGTGGCACCTGGTGTTCCCAGAGGTCTCCCATCACAGTGCTAACCAGGCCCTGTCCTGCTTAGCTTCAGAGCCTGAAGGATTTTAACCGAACAATAATAATACATTGGTTTAATAAAGCGCGTTTGTAGTATTTGTTTTACTCCAAACACGGTGGTGATAAAGTCCCACTGTAGCCACAGCTGCCCTGGGGCACACTGACAAAAGTGAGCCAACCAGTCTGTGTCATTGGCTCCTCTGACCAACACCAACCTTTCATGACGATCCCCTCAGACCTCTGAAGCTAAGCAGGGCAGGGCCTGGTTAGTGATGTGATGGGAGACCTCTGTGAACAGCAGGTGCCACAGTGGGGCGGCTGTGGCTGTAAAGTGCCAAACTGTGGTTGTGTCCTCAGGCAAGACACTTCCCCCACATTAGAATGAGTCTGGTGTGTGTGTGAATGGTTAGTTTATCACCACCGTGTTTGGAGAGAAAGAATAAGGATGTGAAGAGACTTTGAGAGTCCAGAAAAGCTCTGTATAAAACCCAATGCATTTATTGTTGTATTTATTTATCTCTTCTGTTGGTTCGGGCGCACCACCCAACCCAAGTGTCTCCTGTAGTCAGTTTGAAAGTTAGGAACCCCAGCTTTAATTGAAGAACCGTGTCTGAAAGAACAAGTCGTAGTTAACAGTTTTAAAATGAAACGTGCACTGTCAGAGGTGATCTTTGATAATCACAGGAGAGCCACTGGAGGAGCTGCACTTCCTGTGGGGGGAGTGTGGGGGGAGGGCAGGGGGAGTGTGGGGGGAGTGTTGGGGGAGGGCAGGGGGAGTGCGGCCTCCCGTGCGGTCCCTGTCTTCTCCCTGATCCTGCTCCCTGTGCTGCTGCCGTCTGAGGCGCATAATCTGTGCTCTGTGCTCAGCCCCGCGGGCCTGTCCCGGCCGGACGTGCCCTGAATGCCTCCGCGGGGACCGTTCGCCTCCACTGCTCCAATTACCCCCGCTCTGCAGCCTCCGCCTCCTCCCACATGGAGACCACGTCCGCCTCCAGCCCATTTAGGAGCTGTAAAAAAAAAAAAAAACAAGACGAACAGAGAAAAACATAGAGACTTTATTGAAATTCTGAATCACATCCGTCCAAACACACATGGTTCTGTTCTAACTGACAAAACATGGTATTATTGGTATTTTTGTTTTTGCCATTGATCTGACTCTAAATCAATTACATATGACTCTGAGGACTATGGTTTCAAGATTATATTTATTGTTGTTTTCACGGAAATGTGGTTGGGATTTGGCCTTAGACCCTGGCAGTGACCTGTGAGGAGGCAGAATGGGACTGGGCATAGACCCCAGCAGAGACCTGTGAAGAGGCAGAATGGGACTGGGCATAGACCCCGGCAGAGACCTGTGAGGAGGCAGAATGGGACTGGGCCTAGACCCCGGCAGAGACCTGTGAGGAGGCAGAATGGGACTGGGCCTAGACCCCAGCAGAGACCTGTGAGGATGCAGACTTGGACTGGCCTAGACCCCAGCAGAGACCTGTGAGGAGGCAGAATGGGACTGGGCCTAGACCCCGGCAGAGACCTGTGAGGAGGCAGAATGGGACTGGGCCTAGACCCCTGCAGAGACCTGTGAGGAGGCAGAATGGGACTGGGCCTAGACCCCTGCAGAGACCTGTGAGGAGGCAGACTTGGACTGGCTTAGACCCCGGCAGAGACCTGTGAAGAGGCAGACTTGGACTGGCTTAGACCCCGGCAGAGACCTGTGAGGAGGCAGAATGGGACTGGGCCTAGACCCCGGCAGAGACCTGTGAGGAGGCAGAATGGGACTGGGCCTAGACCCCAGCAGAGACCTGTGAAGAGGCAGACTTGGACTGGCTTAGACCCCGGCAGAGACCCGTGAGGAGGCAGAATGGGACTGGGCCTAGACCCCGGCAGAGACCTGTGAGGAGGCAGAATGGGACTGGGCCTAGACCCCTGCAGAGACCTGTGAGGAGGCAGAATGGGACTGGGCCTAGACCCCGGCAGAGACCTGTGAAGAGGCAGACTTGGACTGGCTTAGACCCCGGCAGAGACCTGTGAAGAGGCAGACTTGGACTGGCTTAGACCCCGGCAGAGACCTGTGAGGAGGCAGAATGGGACTGGGCCTAGATCCCGGCAGAGACCTGTGAGGAGGCAGAATGGGACTGGGCATAGACCCCAGCAGAGACCTGTGAGGAGGCGGAATGGGACTGGGCATAGACCCCGGCAGAGACCTGTGAGGAGGCAGAATGGGACTGGGCCTAGACCCCGGCAGAGACCTGTGAAGAGGCAGACTGGGACTGGGCCTAGACCCCGGCAGAGACCTGTGAAGAGGCAGACTTGGACTGGGCCTAGACCCCGGCAGAGACCTGTGAAGAGGCAGACTTGGACTGGGCCTAGACCCCGGCAGAGACCTGTGAAGAGGCAGACTTGGACTGGGCCTAGACCCCGGCAGAGACCTGTGAAGAGGCAGACTGGGACTGGGCCTAGACCCCGGCAGAGACCTGTGAAGAGGCAGACTGGGACTGGGCCTAGACCCCGGCAGAGACCTGTGAAGAGGCAGACTTGGACTGGGCCTAGACCCCGGCAGAGACCTGTGAAGAGGCAGACTTGGACTGGGCCTAGACCCCGGCAGAGACCTGTGAAGAGGCAGACTGGGACTGGGCCTAGACCCCAGCAGAGACCTGTGAGGAGGCAGAATGGGACTGGGCCTAGACCCCGGCGGTGGGAGTCATAGGAGAAGGGAGTAAGAGCTGGCCATGGTCCTCGTTCTGTAGCTTAAGATAAGATAGACTTTACTGATCTCACGTTGGACAAATGTACACGTCACATTTGGCACAGATAGAATGACTCAGATTGTGCAAAAGACAGAAGTGTGCAACATGTTAAAATATAGGGTTAAAATATAGTCTGTTCCTGGTATAATTCTGTACAGTAAAAAAAGAGAGAGTGTCAATAGCAGTGCAAATCTTTCAGCTTCGGTCCTGGAGTCTGTTTGTGGGTCTGATGATCCAGGACACCCTACGTTCTTCAACATTTATGGACCTTGGTCAACTCCCCCCATTCCCCAACTCTAGATGGACCAACACTCCTCTAGATGGAGCTGTTTCGCTGCTTTAAACCCTTTCCATTTCCTTTCTATTCTTTTCTAGAATGTCTATCCATTAAAATCAGTTACTACTACTATACTACTACCTGTTGTGAAAAATGTGGTGTAGCCTCTGGGTGGAGCAGGACAGGCCACAGCCACAGAGGTGGAGTAGCCTCTGGGTGGAGCAGGACAGGCCACAGCCACAGAGGTGGAGTAGCCTCTGGGTGGAGCAGGACAGGCCACAGCCCCAGAGGTGGAGTAGCCTCTGGGTGGAGCAGGACAGGCCACAGCCACAGAGACCCAGAAATGCAAAAGTGTTTAGCAAATTTTGAGTTTTTACATAATCCAAAACGAGACGACCAGAGCTGACCAGACATGCGTCACTTCCGCTGATGTTTTGGCCTCTGTGGTGACACCAAACAGAGCACAGGCCATGGCTTCGAAGCCCAGGACTTGTATAGAAACTGTCCTGGATTTACAGTATTCTGCTTTGTTGGCAACTCTTGCTAACTTTGCACCTTCTGTACGGCGACCTCGAGGGCCCAGAGAGACGGCATGTGAATAAAATGTATTATTATTCTAAAAACTGGGGCACCTATCTCTGTCTTGGTCTCATAAATACATTGTGTTGGTGACTTTTCTGCCGTTTCTGCCGGATTCAAAAGAGCAGTGGAGCGTTGTTTCGAATCAAACGCAGTCTCGCCGGCGTGGTGTGCGCGTTTCCGGCCCGACAGCTCGCTCACGGCTCGCCTTGTTTACATCCACTTAGGCCTGGCGCGCCGCTGTTATGAAATCATGTAGTGTAAAATTGAGAGGGCACCGGCGGTCACAGTACAAGCAGGTAATCGCCGCCGTGATTAGCTTTGTGTGGAGGAATAATGTCTCCGGCGGCGAACGCGCTACTGCTGCATGTCCCCGACGGCAGCAGCTGAAAAATGTTTGTTCGAAGAGAGATTTCATGATATGGACTGTTGTTTTGATGCCGTTTCATTACGACAGGCTTTCAAGCTTATGTTAAAGATGTTAAAGCTGTTAAAGCTGGGGTACATCACTTTCAATCAGAATCAGAATGTTTTGTTTTGCTATTCTGAGTAACTGGAAGTCTCTGATTATGCTTTGGCTCTAGCTGCAAACTACTAAAATACAGAATTAAATTGGTAAAAATCCGTATCACTTGTTCCTGGATTTAAAACAGTTCAATGTATATCCCTAAATCACAACAACAGGACTGTAGATCTGGATCTACTGGGGCTGTAGACCTATGGACTGAGGCTGTAGACCCAGGACTGAGGCTGTAGACCCAGGACTGAGGCTGTAGACCCAGGACTGACTGTAGACCCAGGACTGAGGCTGTGGACCCAGGCCTGAGGCTGTAGACCAAGGACTGAGGCTGTAGACCCAGGACTGAGGCTGTAGACCCAGGACTGAGGCTGTAGACCCAGGACTGAGGCTGTAGACCTATGGACTGAGGCTGTAGACCAAGGACTGAGGCTGTTGATCCAGGACTGAGGCTGTAGACCCAGGACTGAGGCTGTTGATCCAGGACTGAGGCTGTAGACCCAGGACTGAGGCTGTTGATCCAGGACTGAGGCTGTAGACCCAGGACTGAGGCTGTAGACCCAGGACTGAGGCTGTAGATCCAGGACTGAGGCTGTAGACCTAGGACTGAGGCTGTAGACCCAGGACTGAGGCTGTAGACCCAGGACTGAGGCTGTAGACCCAGGACTGAGAATTTAGACCCAGGACTGAGGCTGTAGACCCAGGACTGAGGCTGTAGACCCAGGACTGCGGCTGTAGACCCAGGACTGATGCTGTAGACCCAGGGCTGAGGCTGTAGATCCAGGACTGAGGCTGTAGATCTAGGACTGAGGCTGTAGACCCAGGACTGAGGCTGTAGACCCAGGACTGAGGCTGTAGGCCCAGGGCTGAGGCTGTAGACCCAGGATTGAGGCTGTAGGCCCAGGGCTGAGGCTGTAGACCCAGGATTGAGGCTGTAGACCCAGGACTGAGACTCTAGACCCAGGACTGAGGCTGTAGATCCAGGTTTGGTCCTATCACTAGTTTCCACATGCATGTAGTCAAATCCTAACCTCTTACCGAACACAGAAAAACAGAGGACCAGGCTCACTCACCCGTTCAGCCCTCACCCCACAGAGTCAAAAAGCGACTCACAGGGCTCTTTCCTACAAAATACGAAATTCTAATGAGCCTACAACGGGATGTGACGGTTTGATTTTTTCACATTGAGCCATTGGTCTATAGGGAGCAGGAGACCGACCGAATACATCTATAGTTGCATGTTTACAGCCGTACTTTAGCAGCAAGAGGCTCGGACAAAATAACTCAGTAAGTTTAACACACAGATGCTAACACTCTCATTAGCATGTGTGTTTTAGCGCTGCCTTTAGAGCTGTGTAGACGGAGCTGCGGTGAGGTAAGCACCCTGCTGCACAATAGGGCCAAACAGAGACATATTGGGGCCAGTGTTGACTTATATCCCTATGCTAATAAGCCGACAGGGTTCAGAGAGGGAAGCCTCGCTAGTCCCTGCACCTCTCCCGCTAACACCCGCTGGGAATGGAAAGTTTTAAACACTACTTTATGTCGTTACTTACAAGGACGTTCAAAATCAAGGCCAAAGTGACGGTGGTGTGAATGTGGCTGCGAGAGAGTTGGATTGGATGGTAGAAGTCATACATGGTCCGCTACGTGACTATGTGTGGTCCATGGTCTACAAAGAGACCAGAGAGAGAGACCAGAGTCGAATAGACCAGAGACAAAGAGACCAGAGTCAAAGAGACCAGCGACAAAGAGACCAGAGACAAAGAGACCAGAGAGAGACCAGAGTCAAAGAGACCAGAGACAAAGAGACCAGTGACAAAGAGACCAGCGACAAAGAGACCAGAGAGAGACCAGAGTCAAAGAGACCAGAGACAAAGAGACCAGCGACAAAGAGACCAGAGACAAAGAGACCAGAGAGAGACCAGAGTCAAAGAGACCAGAGACAAAGAGACCAGCGACAAAGAGACCAGAGACAAAGAGACCAGAGAGAGACCAGAGTCAAAGAGACCAGAGACAAAGAGACCAGCGACAAAGAGACCAGAGACAAAGAGACCAGAGAGAGACCAGAGTCAAAGAGACCAGAGACAAAGAGACCAGAGAGAGACCAGAGTCAAAGAGACCAGAGTCAAAGAGACCAGCGACAAAGAGACCAGAGAGAGACCAGAGTCAAAGAGACCAGAGTCAAAGAGACCAGCGACAAAGAGACCAGACAGAGACCAGAGTCAAAGCGACCAGAGACAAAGAGACCAGAGAGAGTCCAGAGTCAAAGAGACCAGCGACAAAGAGACCAGAGAGAGTCCAGCAACAAAGAGACCAGCGACAAAGCGACCAGAGAGAGAGAGACCAGAGAGAGACCAGAGTCAAATAGACCAGAGACAAAGAGACCAGAGAGAGAAAGACCAGAGACAAAAAGACCAGAGAGACCAGAGACAAAGAGACCAGAGAGATAGAGACCAGAGAGAGAAAGACCAGAGTCAAAGAGACCAGAGAGGATTGGATTGAATGCTAGAAGTCATACATGGACCGCCAAGTGACTATGTGTGGTCCATGATCTATGTGTGGTCCATGATCTCTGTGTGGTCCATATAGAAAACATGTGAATGAGTGAATGAGACATGCACAGAATAGAGCGGACGAGAGAGAGCCCAGTTTGTAGTATATCTGGTATCTCTTTCTCTGGTATTTTGTTCTATTGTCTTTCTGTGGTCTCTCACCTTTTTCTGTGTCTCTTTTGTGCCTCTCTCTAGTCTCTCTCTAGTCTTTCTCTGGTCTATCTCTGGTCTATCTCTGGTCTATCTCTGGTCTCTCTCTGTGAGGTCCAGCACCATTAGAGACCCGCCTTAAGCAAAATACGTCTTCTGTGGTCATAATGCAGTGCACCCAGGACCAGAGAGAGAGACCAAAGAGAGAGCAGAGAGACCAAAGACAAAGAGAGAGAGACCAAACAGAGAGACCAGAGAGAGAGAGACCAGAGAGAAACCATAGAGAGGCCAGAGAAAGACCAGAACGAGACTAGAGAGAGACCAGAGAGAGACTAGAGAAAGACTGGAGAGAGACCAGAGAGA